GGATGCCCGGTGGAGGCTGCCGGCGTGGAGAAGGAAGCCCTGGCTGTGAGGTGAGAGGTCCACGGTGGCATTAGCAAGGCTCTGTCACCTGTGCCTGTGTGAGGCTGGCTGCTGCAGCAGTGGCTGGAACAAGGGGCTGGCGGCCAAAGGGAGCTGAAATGGGACATACTAGGGCAGGATTAGCTAGGAGAGAGACTTTCCCCTGAGGCTCCCCATTCCTTAGCCAGCCTCAAATGCCTATGTTTAAAAATATTTCTGGTATTAGCTTATGATGCTGGAATTTATTTTACTACAGGACAAACCCTTTTACTCCACAATGAAGAATAGAAGTTTGAGTCCTAAATTGATTATTTAAGGACATACATTGGCTAGAAGTCATCACACTGAAGAGAACTCAAGCAATACAATACAATGATCTAATGGCACATTCTCTCCTGATCTGATAGAAAGAAGGGGAAGTTGAAAGGCATGGATACTGGAAAAGGGGGGGGACCTTTAATGAGGAAGGCACAAGATAGGAAAGGAGTTGGAATTCAATAAGCACATATGGAGAACTCTAGCACTCTGTGTTTGCCAGGTGCTCTCCGGGACACTGAAGTACAATAGGTCACACAACAGACTAGATCCCTATGCCCCAGGGTTGGGGTTGGAGGAGGGAACAGACAGTAAGCAAGCAATCAAGTGAAAAAATGTATCAATGGAGATAAGTCTTATGAAGAAATATAAAACAGGATAGGGGTCAAGAGAGTAAATAGAAGGATGTTATTTGAAATAATTGAACAGGACTCTTCCAGAAGATGGAGGGTTTAGTAGAGATATAAAGCAACTGAGGGAGGATGTCACACCAGTAGATGGACAAAAATGATTTTACACTGAGAGAATAGTCTGTGCAAAGGCCCTGAGGCAGGAGTGTGCTGATTATGTTCAAGGAAAAACAAGGAGGCCAATGTGTTTGGAATGGAATGTGGGAGGCAGAAAATGGAGGAGATAAATCAGAAAATGGCCTTGTGATAGAAGACAAAAGAGGTTTTTTTTTTATAAATTGATCAATTTTCTGAGGGTAAACCCTGTTTATTTCATTTGGACATGGATACATAGATGGTGGAAGGAAAGAGTCTGTTATATCATGTTTTGTACAGTCCCAGTTTCATGGTGCATTGCCCTGAAGCACTATGTGCACCTTGCCCATAATACTTCCTGGAGCCCTGGTCCTGCCTGTGCCTTCCCATCCTCTGTACATGGAAGTAACTTCTGCTGCAGACAGAAAAGAGTCTATCATGCTGTCACCTACCACCCATGACTTAACCATATCTGCTCAAATGACTCCTCCTTCTTTTATACCTCAAGGCAAAATTTGTCCTTCTTCCTGCCAGCCTGGGCTCTGGGTCCTATTCTCTGACTGTCTTTGTTCATAAATCACCCACCTTTCTTTTTATTATAAACTTCTCCCCTTCCACTCATTCTTTTCCTTCACCTTTTAGAAAGGCTCAAGTCTTGCCCATCTTAGAACAACTCCACCGTAACCTGATGACAAACTCTAGCTATTACCAATGTCTTTCTTTATCTTCACAGCCCAAACCTACAGTTGTATATACTTGTGCTCTGAAGTTTTCATACCACTTTTATTCCTCCTCCCCCTAAAATCTTGATTCCACACCACCTCTCCACAAAACACTTCTCTTAGTTCGTTGGTGACTTACTCTTTGCCCAAACTGGATCATACTTTTAAGTTTTCTTTTTATGCACACCCTCTGAAGTTTCTTTTAATAATTATTTCTTTTTCTGGCCTTCATGATAGTATTTTCCCTGATTTACTTCCTTGTAGCCATGCCTCAGTTTCCTTTGTTATTTTTAAGCTGCCTAAATGTAGATATTCCATAGGACTGAGCTTTCCAACCATCATGAAGTGTTGATCTCCTCAGTTCTTGTGGCAGCCAGAGCCGGGGCTCATTGCCTGCAGACTTGAGCTGCCTGGTCTGTTTGCCCCAGTGGGCTGCACAAACACTATCTATGTCTGTAAGCCCTGACATAAAAATCCTGGAAAACGTTGCCCTGGGATTTCATCCTCACCCCTCCCTATTTTATATTCTAGATAATCTGTAGTGATATCATTCACTCAACTTCTCTCTATAGAGAGATGAATTATAAATCTCTAAGTCCAGCTATCATTTCTCTGTTGAGCTCTAGATCAATGTCACCTAACTGAACACCTCTTCTTGGATATCCTCAAACTTAACATGTCCAGTATTAAACCTTTTATTTTCAATCCTGTTCTTCTCAGTGAGTATTAGCAATGACCTGTAAATGTGAAAATGATTCTTCATTTAACTCCATTACTCTTATATCTAATCAATTATCAAATCTTCTTAATTTTGGTTGTGTTCCATCATATCTAGTATTGCCTTGTCATCACTCTGATGCCACAGTTAGTTCAAGTCTCTTGAACTGTTAATTCTGAATGACTGTGGTAGATCTTATTATTGTTTAAAACAGTTGCAGCTCTTCCTTGCAGTTCCCTCCCTTGTGAGAAGCCCTCCTTGGCTGTGAATCCCTCCCTTCCCTTGGTTGCTGGAGGATTATACATTCCTGCCTCAGTGAATTCAGAAACGGTGGTTTAGGATTTGTTTTGGCTCAGGAAATGCAAATATAAGTTACACAGAGCTAACAAAACTGCAAAGTTTGAGGGAATGGGCTGGCCTCTGATCCGCTAATTCTCCCAAGACTTATAACACCAACTGCAAGGTGTGTCCAACTACAAAGTTAGAGAAAAAAGTCCACACAAGACCACCATTACTCTGATAACACCTGCAAGCTCAGAAATTTCCCAAACTATTCTCATGTTGGATAATTAGCTGGAAAGACTCACAGAACTCACGGAAAGCTATCGTTCTCACAGTTATGGCTCATTACAGAAAAAACATACAGATGAAAAATCAGACAAAGGAAGAGATGTATAGAGTCTGAGAAGTTTCCAAATGCAAAACTTCTGTTGTCCTCAGGAGGTGTTATCCTCCTGGCATCACCTTATGACAATATGCACAGGGTATTGTCAACCACGAAAGTTTGCCTGAGCTTTGAGTTCAGAGTTTGTATTGGAGTTCCATTATGTAGGCATGATTGATTGATTGCCCATGTGATTGACCCAAAGCACCTATCCTAAGTCACTTGGTTGGTCTTTGTGGCCTGGCCATACCTCTTCCTATCAGGTGTGGCTGGCTCTACCCTAAGGTTCAGTGGCTAGCCCCTGCCCTAAACAATGACACTGTTAAGAGGTAGAACATGGATTATCTCCCGTAAACTGAGGGCAAAGGTCAGATATCAGTTGGGCAAAGCCAAATTTTACTACACAGATGTAAAGTGGGTCACTTCTGAGTAGAAGATTTAAACATCAGGGTGGGATTTGAAATATCTCTTTCCCCTCTGCCACCTGGCTGGAAAACTTTCAGTTAAATCAGCCTGGCCCTGGAGTGAAGATGGCATGGAAGAGAGTTGCGGTTGACCTGACTGTTACATGAGCAAGACATAAACATGGTATTTGTGAGCCCCTGAGATTCGAGACTGTTTGTTACCAAGGTGTAACTTCCAGGGTGGATCAGCTAAAGGATGAAGCAGTTGGCACCTGCCTTCTCCTTTTTTGTACTTTGATCTGCCAGACCTGCTTGAACCTGAACCTCATGAAAGCCTGTTTCCAGTCTCCTGTGCTAAAAAGACCTAGCAGTACACATTTCTTTCAGGCCCAACCAGCCCTCTGCTCACCTGTTTCCAGCTGCTTCAGTCAGGAGCAGTGGGAACTCAGTTTTTAGGGAGGAAAGACAGAAGCCTTGCCACATTCTTCAAGCCAGCTTTTAAGACAATAAATCTAATCAGGTATTCTGATCCCTTCCTTCTGTTGGCTGCTGGCATCTGCTTTCAAATGATTCAGAACCTGGAAAAGGAAAGGAGATTGCTTACCAACCCTAAACCCCAACACTGGGCACCGGGAAAAGCTAAACCACTGACTTCAGTGCTTGCTGGCTGGCGGGACTGGGGCAGGTAGGACTTGAGAGTATAAATAGGTCTTGTTAATCCATTTGTAATAAGGCAACTATTCCAAGTACAGAAAATAGACAACAATTTACTTGCTATTAAGATGGACAGGAAGGAGCTAGTAGGGTGTTTTGGCAAAGAATAAACCTTCTGGTTTAATCAGTTTGAGTCATTTTCTAGAGTAGTATCAGTTAATGGCTGGGGCAGTTGGCATTTTCAACGAGTCTAAGGCAGTCATGTGCACAGCCAGGGACGCCAGGAAGTGGCTGATGGGCCGGCCACAGTGCAGCCTGTCAAGAGGGTGAGAGAGGCCCCGAGAGAGGAGATGGAGTGGTGGGTGGCTTTGAAGAGGAGGCCAAGAGTCTATATTTGATCTAGGAGGTAAAAGCACAAAGTGGTTGAAGCAGTTCACATAAGAATTAATTTCCAGGGAAACAGGATACTTAGCAAATTGTCTCTTTTCCTGAATTGACAGATATGATAGGAACTATAGTAATACATCTCAAAGGATGAGCAGTTTATTCCCAGGGGTACTTTATTTACTGAAAAGTAAATCTCACTGAGAACCTGGCTGGAAATATCTTTTCATTTACTATGCTCTCTGCCTGCCTTGCCTTTAATAGAAAACAAGCCAGAAATGTTCTCAAATAAAACTAAAGACCATACAGCCACTAGTGAGTTCTAGAGGAACATTTATAACAATAATTGCAGACAGAGGATCATTCTTTCAGGGGTTGTGGTTCCCAGGCTTCCCCGTTGAACTGGAGCAGAACAGTGCTGCTGCTTCCTATGAGGATCAGAGACTGTCAAGTGCGACTCAAGGGGAAAGAAAAGGTGGATGGAAAGAAAATACTTGAGAGAAGGATTTTTTTAGAGGGTAGGAAGATCTTATAGGAAGCACGTTGAGTGCTTCATTAACTCCTGAATAGCTACAGTCTATTACTTTACTTTTTCTTCTTTTTCTCTTTCTGCAGCACCAAACCTGGTCCTGCACTGTCTCCGTGACGCCAGCAACCCCAGACAAAACAGAACTGCTTCTAGGGGCACGTGACACTGTTTCCAGGAATCAGCAGAGGAATGACAATGGTGAAGGCAGGATGGCCAGAATGAAATCAACACTTATGTGGAGTGGGTATCTTCTCTTCGTGTGATAATCTTCACTGACATGTGCTAAGCTTGGTACAGAATGCAGGCCTTCCTTCCTTTTCTTTACCAAAGGGCAGAGCTGGTAGCTCCTGGGGTGGCTGTGGTGGGTTTGAAAGTACCAAGTGGATCCTATGCCTCCAAATAGTCCCTCTCCAGGTTTGTTCTCAGGATCTGAAAGACAGTTTTCTTGCCATTAAAGTTATATCTTGGGTTCCTGCTGGATGCATGGATCTTTGACAAAGCCAAGGCAAGAAGTCAGTCATCCGGTGGGAGTGAGTGCTTATGTGAAGTCCAGCGTGGCCCAGGAAGCTTCGTTTTCCTCTTTTAGCATCGTCTCTGTGAGGAGAGAAGCCCTGGGAAGGCGGAGCAGAGGATGGGCAGGGTGGATGGGGAAGCTGAGGTCTGGAATAGGGGTGGACTCCTGTCAGGACCCAGCGAGGACAACAGAAAGCGTTGGGCGAGCACAGGGTGTGCCAGGTCTCGGTGTGTGTGCAGGTGAGCGTGGGGAATGCAGAAAGGGGATGGAGGTGATAAATGGAGGGGGCGGCCTTGTGAGACTTGAAGACAGATGTTTTCAACTTCACATTTTAAACATTTTTCTCGCCTGGCAGTACCGCTTCTTTCTTGACCATACCATCTTAATTTATGAGCTTTATGTCTAGTAATTCTTCCATGATTTTTTACATGTACCTGTATATATATTTCATATATAATTTTAAAAGGTAAACTTTGGTTTTTAGGACAGTTTTAGATTTGCAGAAAACTGTGCAGGTAATAGAATTCCTATACCAACCACATTTCCCCCTCCATTTGCTTATATTAATATGATACATTTGTTACAATTCTTGAAGCAATATTGCTACCTCATTATTAACCAAAGTCCATAGTTTCCATTAAGTTTCACTCTTTGTGTTGTATAGTTCTGTGAGTTTTGGCAAATGCATAATGTCATGTATCTACCATTATTACAGTGTCATACAGAATAGATTCACTGCCTTAACAATCTCTGTGCCTGACCTATTCATCGCTCACCTGGGACTCATTTTTTAATTGAATTTGGTTGCTAATGGAAGAGAAAATTAAATGTACATATGTATATGTGATATATAAATATGTACTTGTATAATAATGCATGTGTGTGTGTATGTTTATAAACACACACACATATACAGTCATGTCCCACATAATGATGTTTCAGTCAATGACAGACCATGTATGAGATGGTGCTCCCATAAAATTATAATGGACTGCAAACTAGTTCAACCTCTGTGGAAAGCAATATGGAGATACCTTAAAGCGATACAAGTGGATCTACCATTTGATCCAGCAATCCCATTGCTGGGCATCTACCCAAAAGATCCACATAATTGCAAGGCTGTGGAAACAGCCCAAGTGCCCATCAATCCAAGAATGGATTAATAAAATGTGGTATATGTATACCATGGAGTACTATTCAGCTCTAAGAAACAATGGTGATATAGCACATCTTGTATTTTCCTTGTTAGAGCTGGAACCCATGCTACTAAGTGAAGTATCCCAAGAATGGAAAAACAAGCACCACATATACTCACCAGCAAACTGGTATTAACTGAGCAGCACCTAAGTGGACACATAACTACATTAACTGGATATTGGGCAGGTGGGAGGGGGAGGGGGAGGGGAGGTGGGTATATACATACATAATGAGTGAGATGTGCACCATCTGGGGGATGGTCACGCTGGAAACTCAGACTTGTGGGGGAGGGGGGGAAAGGGCATTATTTGAAACTTTAAAATCTGTACCCCCATAATATGCTGAAATAAAATAAATAAATAAATTATAATGGAGCTAAAAAGTTCCTTTTGCCTAGTAACGTCATAGCCATTGCAAAGTGGTAGCACAACACCTTACTCGTGTGTTTGTAGTGATGCTGGTGTGAACAAGCCTACTGTGCTGCCAGCCATATAACAGTATAGCACACAGAATTATGTGCAGTACATAATACTTGATAATGATCACAAATGACTATGTTACTGGTTTATGTATTTACTGTACTATACTTTTCATCATTATTTTTAGAGTGTACTGCTTCTACTTATAAAAAAGCAAGTTAACTGCAAAATCGCCTCAGGCAGGTCCTTCAAGAAGCATTCCAGAAGAAGGCATTGTTATCATAGGAGATGACAGCTCCATGCATGTTATTGACCCTGAAGACCTTCTGGTGGACAAGATGTGGAGGTGCAAGACAGTGATACTGATGATCTTGACCCTGATCTTGACCCTGATGATCTTGACACTAGGCCTGGGCTAGCGTGTGTGTTTGTGCCTTAGTTTTTAACAAAAAAGTTTAAAGAGCAGAAAAATAAAAATTCAAAAAACAGAAAAGATCATGTAGAATAAAGATATAAAGAAAGAAAATATTTTTGTACATCTCTACAATGTGTTTGTGTTTTATGCTATGTTATTGTGAAATAGAAAGTTAAGAATATTAAAAATTTCATAAAGTTAAAAAGTTACAGTAAGCTAAGGTGAATTTATTATTTAAGAAAGGTATTTTTTTCTAAATTTAGTGCAGCCTAACTGTACAGTGTTTATAAAGCTACAGTAGGTTATGGTAATGTCCTTGGCCTTCACGTTCACTCACCCCTCACTCACTGACTCACCCAGAGCAACCTCCAGTCCTGCAATCTCATTTCATGGTAAGTGCCCTATACTGCTGTACCATTTTTTATCTTTTATACCATATTTTTCTGTACTTTTTCTATGTTTATATACACAAATACTAACCATTTTGTTACAGTTGCCTACAGTATTTAGCACAGTAACAAGCTGCACAGGTTTGTAGACTAGGAGCAATAGGCTATACCATATAGCCTAGGTGTTTAGTAGGCTATGCTATCTAGGTTTGTATAAATACATTCTATGATATTCATGCAGTGATGAAATTGCCTTATAATGTATTTCTCAGAATGTATTCTTGTTGTGAGGTACGACAGTATATATATATATGTGTGTGTGTATATCTATGTGTATGTATATATAGACTACACACACACACACACACACGCACACACACAATCTTGTATTTAAGTGCCACAAGTTTCTTCTGGCTTTTTACAAACTATCACTGATAAAATAAGAGGCTGCCCACATGTAAAACCTCTATGCCTCTACTTTGTGTCTGACGTGTTTTGTTTGGCAAGACAATGTAACAGTATTATCATCTATCATTAAACCCATACAGTGTCAAACTTATCACCTTGACACTTTCATGATCCTTAAGATGTCCTTGTAAAGGCTTGATGTCATGGCAACCAGTGTTATATATCAGGATCTAGCACTGTGGAACTACTCTTAATAAATCAGACATAATTGGCATATATGCATTATAATGAATTAAAAGTTATTCAACTGGAATGATTTTATATTGTGCAACATTAAGTCATTAAATTTGCTTGTCCTGATCTTCCTTTGGTGTCAGTAATCTTGTTTAGTTTTAAAAAAACCTCTTAACTTTTAGTATCTTGCTCTGTAAGATGGCTATTTATGGATAATATATTGTTCAATAGCTCCATGCATTATTTATTTATTTGATTTTGACAGTTAAATTTAAATTCTGGTGGCTTCAGGTCAGAAGGGAGATGAGTTATGAGACTTGCTTTCCACCCTTCAGTGGATTGGTGATGCTTGCATGTTACATCAATGTGCCTGGGTGCTGTGTGGTCAGCCATGGTGCCGGCTAGCCGTGCAGGTAGGTAACTGCGTGGGTTAGAGTGCATGTGCCAGGAATGGTTAACTCACCCCTCCCTCCATGCTCTCATATTATCTTCTTGGTTGTCTCCAAATCTGGGGTGAGCCAAGAAGAACTAATTATTCAAAGCCTGAAGACAAAGAAGAATTTAGATAGGAAGGGTGATAGTGCCTTGCTACTCAGAGTAATCAGAGAACTGGCAGATCTCCGATTCTGGGAGCTTGGTTAGAAATGAAAAACCTCAGACCACTCCCCAGATCATCTGAATCAGGATCCCCTTTTAATCCCGATTCCCAAATGATTTGTGTGTCCAGTGAAATTCGAGAAGCACTAGATTAACAATTAAGTGCGTGTACCCTGGAGTAGGAAGGGCGTGTGGCTCTGCTACTTCCTAATGGTAGGAATTGGGCAAGTTTGTCAGTTTCAGTTTCTTGGTCCTTTAATGTGGGAATCACAGTTATGCTCTTAGGAGTATAATGACACAGTAGATGTCAAATGTCCAGCACTGTGCCTCATACATAGTAGTGCTTTTGTCAGCTGTGATTAAAACCAGGAGGACAGTCAGCGTGGGAGGAAATGCCAACATAAGTGAGAGAGAATAGGCCCCAGCTGGAAAATATGAAAGGGTATATCCGAGTCAAAATCAGTACGAAATAATGAACAACTTTAGAATCTGGGAGGTGCCTAGAGAGTGGAGATAGTCTAACCAAATTCCCCGGGTGATTCAGAGGATCAGGATCTACCTTACTGACACAGTCTAGCTTTCCTAGTTTCGTATTTGCAAAACATCTCAGGTATTCAGGAATTCAGTATCATTGCCTCAGCAGGTCTCACAAAATAAGAAGAAGGTACACGAGGAGGCGAGAGAAGAACCACCCCACTTTAGAATCACAGGAGGTCATCTTTGGAAGGAACTTTAAAGATTGTTTATCCACACATCCGTTTGATGTTTTAATTCCCACTAAGTTGTTGCTCAGCCTATGGTCGAATACTATCTGTGACTGAAAACTCACCACTCCTACTGAATCAGCTAGGAAGTGGCTGCAGAGAAGGATCGTAGAGGTCAACTGACTCAGAAATTTAGTGTCCAACACACAGACAGACCAATTGGAAAATTTCAAAGAAATTCTCCATGTTTGCAATTATATTTATTGAAGTATCTACTGTGTTTTAGGCATCAGATTAGGTGCTGGGGATAAAAACAGGAATAAGACATGGAGACCACACTTATTGTTGAATTCAGAGTTTAGATAAGTGACAGATATATAAATAATAATTGCAACAGCATGTAAGAAAGGGAATAATAAAAGAATGGACAAGCAGGTACAGGAGCAGAGGAATGGGTCATTCATTCTGTTGGGTCATGTTTGGGATTTGTTAAAAAGGTGGTTTTTGAACTAGTTTTGGTTGTAGGACATTGGTGTTTGCTGAATGAATGCATGGATATAAATTGTGTGTGTGTGTGTGTGTGTGTGTGCACGCTTGCACTTGAAGGTGTGCATGTGTTTCTGAAGGGAACATAATAGATGTTTAGTATCTTGCAGTCCTGAGGTGGCTCCTACTTCATCATTCCTTTTCTGGGTGATGGTGGAAATATTATTTCTCATCTATAAACCCAAGTCTACACAACGGCAGTTCTTTGTGTTTTTTAATAAATAATGATAATAATTCTGCTTTACAAATTCTGCTTCAACAAATTCAATGTGTGATAATAGAGATTTATAAACATAAAGTTATTACACACATAAAAATCATTCTTTACTTCATAGGATAATTTATTTTCAGAATGTGTATAATTTCTCTTTAGTGCATTTCAAATATAATTTGACTTAGTAAAATTTTTTCTTATATATATCTTGCTTTTAAAGGAAAGTAAACTACATTTAAATGGTATGGATGATAAACTAAATGTTTGAAGTACTAGGGGAAAATAATCTGTGTTAGGAATGTATGGATCATAGATGCAATAGAAAAGTATGTTGAAGTTTTTAAATTCAAGGGAATTCCTTCTATTGAACCACTTATCCATCCATCCACCCACTAACACATCTGTCTGTTCTAAGTCAGGGGTTATTTATTTTTTTTCCTAAAGTTGTAATGATATTGAGCACAACCAAATTAAAAATTAATCACATAGTTTGAAAAATCTAAGATATTGTCTAGTAGTTGTTTCCATATTTTTCTCAAAAATAAAACGTGGATCACCCATATCTTCATACCTTTGGTAAATCATCAGGTAACACAACAGATATTTATTTTCAATTAATTTTTAGGTAAAATTTTGAATTTCACTATTTGCTGAAATAATTGTTACTTTATAATATTTTAAATGTCCATAAATTATCATTTAATATGCCTGCTATTGGGATCTTAAATATTTTATAATTCATTTGATATAGTTCATCATGTTGACCTAAAAAATCTTCTAAACATTTTCTAAACACTTAAAAGGATGTATTTGACTTTTTGAACATCAACTTGGTACAAAACAGCAGTTTTTTACAAATGGTATAAATGAATTAGAAATAGGTGGATCATATTTTTGTGAATAAATACAATTACTGTTTTAAATGCTTGGAGAAAAATACGCGCTAAAACTGAATGGCTGAACAGATCGTCTGGGAGGTGTGACTAACATCAAATAGGTTAGGATTCCTTTCCAAGTATACTTTAAAATGTTTTTGGGGGGGGGTTACTCATGTCTGCGTATCTACATATTTGATCAGTGCTTGTGATTGACTTGGAACTCTCTATCAGACTACCTGGCATGCATGTAAAAGGAGCAGTACTTATAGACACTTCATCATAACTTAAACCTACCACATATGGCAGTTAGTAATCACTTTGTCATTTCTAGCTCTTGGTTCTGTCATAAACATCCACTTGTTGCATCCGATAATTGCTTCCATTGCATCTCTGGAATAGGCATTATTGAGTTGTGTCCAGAGTTTGCTCAATTAGGTAGGACCAATAAGCCAAATTCACAAGCAGATCTGATATTTGATATCCAGAAGAGGGCAGTAGGACACAGAGATTAAAATCACTCAGCTAGAAACTGTGGTTAGCAAAGGTTGCTAACTTCTACTCAGTGTTGGACCAATCCTTCCCTTCCTTTTGGCATGCCATGGACTGCATAGTGTAGCTAAGAAAAGAAACAGACTCTTTCTGAGCCCCTCCTATGTGTCAAGCACTGACCATGTATTTTCACATGTGTAAACCATGATAATCCTGAGATGCAGGGATTATATTGTTCCCATTTGTAGTAATGAGAAAATCAATGTTCAGAGAGCTCAAGCGACTTACTCAAGGTCACAGAGCAAGCAGTAGAACCACAATTAAAATCCAGATTTGACCCCATAGGCTCTGCTCCACCATGTCAGGGTTTGATTACTGACCCTACCACTCATAAACTTACTGACCTTGGGGAAGTAATTTAAACGCTTAGTACTTCAATTTCTTCATCTGTAAAGTAAGACTAACAATGTTCTCTTATTCTTTCAGAGTTAGTGTCTGGATCAATTTCTCTATGATCATCTCTGTCCAAGTGGATAGATTTTGTCCTCAGATAATGTTTTAACTTACAATAAAAAATTGTAGAAAATTGAGTGTAGAGGGGACACAAAAGA